TGATGCGCCAAGAGAGGTGTCAGTTCCTGTTTATGATGTAGAGCCGTCTGATCCTAGTTGGGCTCGTGTTTCTATATTAATTCACCGTTATCTTAAACAGGCAGGTGCTGAAGAGGATGATCTACAGTTTGCTGAGTTGTTCGAAGCTTTACATATTACTCGTTCACATTGACTTATATTTATGTTTATTTTTATGTCTTAACTTTTAGACTTATTGACTTATGTTTATGTTTATGTATTAACTTTTAGACTCACTTCACCAAGTTGGGTTATGTTTATGTGTTAACTTGTAAACTGATATTTAGTTTTGAATCCAGTTATGTGTTATTGAAATTAAAAATGAATAACATAATTCATGACTCATGTTTTGAAATTAAAAATGAATAACATAATTCATAATTCATGTTTTGAAATTAAAAATGAATAACATAATTCATAATTCGTGTTTTGAAATTAAAAATGAATAACATAATTTATAATTCATAATGCATTGGTAATATAGGCGTAAGTTGTTGCCAATATTGTAGACGTCCTGCAAATCCTAACATCCAAGATGTTGCTGCTGGAGAACAAAACTTCTTCCAATCTACTATCATTGGTGGCAATGGAAACCCTTCTTTCGTATTTACCTGAATAAAAAAAATTATCAAAATGTTAAGAAATTATGTTAGTCACATTAACTAAATATAACTAAGTAAAAATAACAAAGTACCTGAATCCAATGATTTGTGTTTACAAAACCAATGCAGTAAAAGGATACATTTGGTGAAAATGAAGTTGTCATAGGGAAGAAAGTCCAGCATTTAAAACCTAAACAGACAAGTACAACATTATAACGATTCGTTATCAAGAAACCCATATCTGGTAGAGTCAGCCATTTATGTGGTGGTTGAGGATCAGATACCTTTATCATCAAAGATTCTCTCACTTCTGCTAACCGATCAACAAATAAATTGGCATACAAACTTGATCTTTCATTATGTATTATTTCCAACCCCAAGTCTCGACAAACCATTGGCCAACCATCTTCACCATATCCATGCAATGAAGCAATGACTCTAAATCCATAATTACTATATGATACAATATTAACTACGTCATCAATATATGACCTGATGTGATTAGGAAACTGAAGGATGAACTGCTTAGATGACTGTGAAGATTGTGATAATTTCAACTTCTTCGAAGCCTGTGATGGTTGAGATTTCTTCTGTGAAGATTATGATAATTTCAACTTCTTTGAAGTCTGTGATGGTTGAGATTGCCTCTGTGAAAATTAAGATGCTTGATCAACATACTCATGATACAAAGGATCCCTATAAACATCATACCCTACTGGTTTTTTGCCTTTCTTCTTGACTCCCCCTTTGGTTTTTATTTTCTTTGGTGTGGACACAAAGAAGTCATTGTGGGGAAGACAAGTTCAAAAACCCTACTTTTTAATGCCCTTTTTCCAACATCCAGTGACCTAAACTTTTTCCATAACTCATATATTGCACTACTCATATCCACCTCTGATCAATCATCTATGTTTTCCTCCAACTTAACTTTCATACTTAGTTTCCTCCAATGAACATGCACAACATCTATTGGTATCGGTATGCCACCAATTCTATATCTTGTCAACTCACAAGCACAAGATAATCCATAGGTTGTTCTAAGAGTACAACGACATATTTACTTGTTAGTTCTAACATAATCAACTTGTGTTAACTCTTTAGCAATGCGTCTCAATGCAGCTCGAGACACTGAACCACGTAAATTATTGTAAAATGGACTTATGTGGGCGTACTCAACTTTATAAAAACTCTTTTGAAAAGAAGCTCTAATCTTGTCCAGTTGTAACTTTAAGTTGTCATGCATAGCCTCCCAACATTTGATCATGTCACAAATACTGTTTCCCAACATTTGCTTTAACTTCCAATGAGCAGACTCAACCCTAAAAATAATACATATTAAAAATACTTAAAAAAATACAATATATATATATATATATATATATATATATATATATATATATATATATATATATATATATATATATATATATACAATTTAGAAATACTAAAATAAATACATATCGATTAGTCGTGGTGTTACCCAAATGTAATACTCGATTATTCCATGCTCCAACAAATCTTTGTCTATGTGGTGTCAACCATATGTCCTTCACATAATCAATAAATTTATTACAATCAACACACGCCTGCTCAAGTTGGTTCAACCTTTGATCATACTCAATCTCATCACTAGCCCATACAACTTCCGTCCATAAGTCCTCGATCGTCTTTTGCATGTCACTAACCACATGTTGCTTACATTTTGCAACAACATTTTTGTTAATGTGAAATCGACATAGCAAATTGATCGACCTTGGAAACACATTTTCAATGGCTTTCATCAAAGCAAGATCTCTATTTGTCACAACACTTGTGGACACAAATCTTTCTTCACAAACAATTCTTTAAGCTTATCTAACACCCAACAAAAAGTCTCAGTCTGCTCATACTCAATATACGCAAATGCGATAGCAAAAGTCAACTCGGTTGATGTCATGCCAACAATTTCAAACAGAGGTTGCCTATATTTGTTTGTCTTGTAAGTGTTGTCCATAACTAACACAATAGGAAAAATATTCAACAACTTAACTAAATTTGGATGAGCCCAAAATATATCTCTAATAACTTCAGAGTCATCTCTTTTTCTACTCCAATAAACATAACTTACACCTTCAATAAGCTTAAGTAAATGTTGTATCTCACTTCTAGGACCTCTTATCTCTTTTTCAATCATACTCTTCTGCTTGTATATTTGTGTGATCCGAGTGAGATTCTCTAGATCTTGCTCTTGCAAGGAAAGCAATATATATTTTGGTGGAACTTTTTTCTTTGTCAAATCAACAATATGTTGCTTTTAATCCGCTGTCAACCTACCAACAGAGGAGTGACCTTCTAATCTATCAAGTAAACAATGGCTATGAACTCCACATTTTACATCAACCTTCCATCCAGACCCATCTTTCGCCGGAGTCGACCTGATTTTAAATGGACATCCACATTTTTTTGTTGCACTTTAGGTACCACTATAAGTATCCTTGTGTTTCCCACCATTATCACAACCAAATATTAATTTGTTACTTCTTCCTCTCTTGCATGTTTCAACATCTGAACGAGTGATGATAACCGTTACTTTATTTCGGATTCTGATCTCTTTAATCCATCTTATGACCTCTTCTCGTGTACCAAATCCTTGAGTAGTTGAAAAAACATCAGATATATCTACACATATCTGGTCTATATCGCATATTTGCGGAGGAATTTTCGTACCTGCAGAATAAAAAAACAATTAAAAAAGTTACATTTACGAAAACAAACCTGAAGTCTCATGAAAAGAGTTCCAATACACAAAAGTCACCAAATCGGAACTCTTAAAAAAAGTGTTCTGGTACACATACAACCAAATCAAAACTCTTAAGAAAGTGTTCCGGTAAACATTATAACCAAACTAGAAGACATGACAGAAAGTGTTCCGAAAGAGTCGTAAGTATGTCTCAGAATCAAAAGTCTTTTTATAACACATCTGGTACATGTTTTGTAATGAATATGAACTCTTAGCTAGAGTCTTCCGATGTGAAAATATATATACTAGAAGTCATTCTGAAAGTGTTCTGAAACGATATTGATGGAGTGTAGGGCTGACAATGAACCGAAACAACTCGAAAATAGTTCGGAATTCGATTCGACAATTAAATCGTTGAACTAGGTTCATGAACCAAATGAATTGAGTATGAGCGAAAAATTAAGTTCGTTAACTAAATGAGTTGAACTTGAACTATACATAGTTCGACTTGTTAGGTTCATGAGTCAACTCGATTACATATGAGAAGAATTATATTGTCTTTAAGATTAAGTTTAAATATTTACTCCAAATCTTAGACAAATTTAATCTTCAATTTAGTAGTTTTTGAATTAAACTCTCAAATGTATCTCTTGAAAGTTGTGTAGGTTTTGAATTAGTAGATTTTGAAGATAAAGTTAAATTTCAATATAATAACTTTTATTTTATTTTAATATTTTATTTTAAAAAAATATATTTATTTAAAATGTCAAATATACTAAAATATATATATATTTTAAAAAAAAATAGTTTTTAAGTCCGTGAATCATGTGAACTGAACCTAATGAGATGAACCTAACGAGTTAAACCGAACTGTTCGTAAACTTATAACGAGTAGAGTTTGAGCTTAAAAAAAGTTCGTGTCGAACTCGAACAATTCTTAACGAGTCGAGCCGAGCTGAGGTGAGTTCGACTCGACCCGACTCATTTCCAGCCCTAATGGAGTGAATTTTTTAAAACTCTAACAATCTGATAGGAACAGTAAAAAGAAAAAAAATAATAATAAAAAATAAACAGGAATAAAATTGACATTTTTTTTAAATATAAGGGTATAAATATAATTATAGGGATATGGGGTAAAATTTTCATCTAAAACTTATAAAAATTAACCACACGATAACTCAAAAACTACTGTGGGTAAAATATGCCTTATATATTCCGATATTTGTAAACTATTTGCAACTAATTTTCATGTGTTCAACAAATTCCATAACTCTTCGAACAAACTAAGCCTCGCCAAATAAAATAGGTCAAGGTAAAAACAGGTGCAAATTCGATTTTGCCACTTTCTATAATTGAACTTGACAAAAAGAATATACTCTGCGAATGAGAGAGGACACTTGAAAGTTAAAACATATCATGTACAAGATTAGTTTGTTTAAAGGTATATATATACTTTCTCAACTACAACAAAGCATGAAGAGACCATGCTCAAATGCCAATTCACATCCATGTTTCACCAGTCAATTTCACACAGCAGAAAACGCTGCACAAAACATCACGTCTACGAGAAAAATCTATGGTAAAAAAGAAATTAAAAAAAAAAACGTAGCATAGTGTGATGAATATTCATTTGGTGCTGTCATATGATCCCAGCATGTAAACTATCCTCCAGTTTGTGCTCTTGAAACATATCTCCACGACCTTAGCTGGGGTTCTTTATCAAGGAGCATTAATAAGCCAGCGTCGGTAGATGGTAGCCCTAACATATACCTAGCACAAGGAGTTCAAACAATTAATCTCTTTTTTCTCACTTCACAAAAACAATTATTGTACTCTCTTCAGTCACTTTAAGAAATATAATCGCAGCAACTTTGTTATTTAAATGAAATGCTGGTTGAGAGGACAGTATTAGGATACGATTAGATTTCAATTGTAAATTGTATAAACGTAAGTCTGCCTAAAAGGGACTATATAGATAATGTGCCTGTTTTCAACCACAAAAATAACATATACTTAATAAGCTGTCACCATTTTTCAGAGAACCCAAAAAGTTCTAGCAGTGAAATTGATAAACTTTCTGTCCTTTGAAATTAATTAACCATTACTAAACAAAGATTGTGTTCATGTCAAACACTTAATAGTCATTATGAGTAATTAACATGTACATTATCAAATGCCACTGCACTCGAATTTCATCGGAAATTGAAGAATCTTTGGAATGCGGTTTGAATTCTAAACTATTGTTTTCTTTAAAAATGATTTCTGGCTAAGGTGGCTTCGAGAATATTAAAATAATGCTTGATTTTGGAGATTACTTACTTGATTTGATGACCTCTCTTTCTCCAGAAAACAATTGAAGCCACCCACTGTACACATTAAAAGAAAGACAGCAGAATAAGTTATGTTCTTTAAATATTTGATAAGATGACTGAAATATAAAGATCATTTGCTTTTGAATTACCTTAAAAATTGTGAAGAACGAGAAGCCGCCAACGAAGGTTTTCACAGTCACTCTCCTCTGATCCGACGTCCCTTTGCACAGATGTTGAGCTATTTCCTTGAGCAAAATAAGTTGTGCTTTATCCGTACGCATCGAAATGATTGACTGTCTCATTGATTCCCTGTCTGCCTCAAGTGCTTGAAGCCTCATGCAAAGCTTCTTTACATAAGGATCTTCAAAATCACCCTGATTTCCAAACTCCCTTGGAGTTGTTGCATACTCATCATCATACCCACCAACTCCCCCTTTAAATTCAGAGTCAACAGTGTAAACTCTATCAGTATTATCACCCACCTCAGAGACATTATCCACCTTCTTCGTATTGGAGAAATCCTCTGACCCATTATAATCCATCTTCCTAGAGCTACCATTGATCCTTGGAGAATCCGACACAAACTCTGCGCCAAATGAAGACGAGTCACATGAAAATTTCCTTGAATGTTTATTCCTTCTAGGAGAGTGTCCAACAATCACCTTCTCTATAACATTCTTCGTATTGAAATCACCATCCATTTGACTATAAGTCGGAGTTCTCTCCATTTGAGATATCCTATTCTCCAAGCTCCTCAAACGATCCCTCGGAGTTTCCCCAAACGCATACTTCTCAACATCAACATCAAAAACATCATCATTATCAACATCCCCAACAGCATGCATTACATTACATTTCAAAGGAGGATACTCATAAGGCGGAAATTCACAATCCCCTTCCACCTCCGACTCAGTTAAACCATAACTCATCAGCCTATGCTTATAAGCCTGAACTTCGCAAGTAAGCGAATGAATCGCCTGTTCTCTTTTATACAACAAATCCTCCAAAGCAAAAAGCTCCTGCTGATCATGACTCGTCCTCTCCTCAACAAAACGCTTAAACTGCCGCGCTTCCATCTCAAGCTCCGCCTTCTCAGTCTGCAATCTCAATATCATCGACATCGTTTCACTCGCCGCAGACGAAGCAGCATTTCTCTCCTCTTCCAATTCAGAATACAAATCCTGAATCGCTTTCTGCTGACTACTAACAGCTTCTCGTAACGCAACACATTCATCCTCAATTTCAACCCGAACAACCCCACCACCACCGTTAGATTTCCTCACCTTTTCCATCTCATCATGCTTCCGTTTCACCTTACGAATCCAATTCGTCGAAATCTCCGAGCAACCACATTCGCAATTGCAGTAGCGACATTTGCAGGTTTTTGTATTTAAAGAACCATTAGAAGATTCCGAATCCATTTAATATAAAAAAAATGCATTCAATTTAGAATCATTAACAAAAACCAAAATCCGCTACAATGGATATTCGGGTTAGAATTTATAACTAAACTAAAAAAGAATCATTTTTTTAGAACTAATGAAGAATCTGAAATGGTTTAATTGTTTGAATTTGAATTTGAATTGAAGTCGTACCTCCCTCCATGCAAAACACCCCCCGTTGGATCATCAACCAAATGAACACAAACCTGTAGATAAATAAATAATAATAATAAATTAATAACCTAAAAATTCAAAAGGAAACAATTTAAATTACCAAAAGGTGAAAAAAATAACAATAAAAAAGGGAAATTGAGAATTGATTCTTCAGGTTTTACCTCATGAAATGAATTTTTTTAAAAGGTAAGAATGTGAAATAATTTACAGAGGTAAATAAAAAGGGGAAGAGAAAGAAGAAAGAGACCTTGTGGTTGACGAAAATGGAGAAGAAGGGATGAACCCGCTTTGTTGGGAGCGGGTGTTTGGAGGGAAGAATGAATGATTGGAAACCCTAGAAACAATTTGATTTCGTTTTTTTTTTTTACTTTCTTTTGTTTTTTTTATGTGCCTCCACCAAAGCACGTCGTTGATTTATTACGCAGTTTTTGTTCAAATCTCATTTTCTATCCATACAACGCCAAATAGACAGACATTCTAACGGATGGTTTGAATCCGAATCATGTGGGGGCATTTTCGTCTTTGCGGGTATTTATTTACCGCGTTTACTCTTCCAATTTTACTACTACCCCCTCCCTTTTATTATTTTTCTTTTCTAGTATAGTGGTTAGATTTATAGACACTTTTAATAGTTGAAAAGTAGAGAATTTCAAATTCAAATATACTTCTCTACACATGTTTGGTAGTACCAAAGTGTAGCATGATTATTGTTATATAGTCAAAGAGCACATGTGATAGAACATTTGTCTGCTTCTTTTTTTAATATGGATATGACATTTTTATAGAGTCTACAATAAAATATTATTCTTTTTCTCTATATTATATACATATAAAAAGCAATAAATAATTTTTTTTTTTGTATTTATGAGTTTAAGTTGGATATCAATATTTTTAAAATAAGTTATTTTTTAAATTTAATTTATTTTAAAATAATAATAAAAAATGATGTAATATTAAAATATAAAATTAAATTGATTAAAGATATCAATAGCCAATTAAATTTAAGAGTATCGATCAGATCAATTTTTTTTTTACTAAAAACAAAATTTTTCATTTAAATTGATGAAATATATGGAATAATAAAAATTCACAGCACATTAATAGCGTATAACGACGAAATGCCTACAAATGTGATAAAATTTACAAATATGACAAAATTAGACTTTTTTACAGATATGCCACTAATTGAAATAGAATGTACCAATTTGCCACTACTTGAAAAAAAATGTTCAAAATGCCACGATTTCAGTTTGGGCTCGTCCTTCCAATGGACGACCCATTGAAGAGGAAAAAATAGTGTTGGGGTTCGGCCAATGGATGGCCGACCCAATGCTACGTTCTTTTTTTTATTATTATTTTAAATATATATATATATATATATATATATATATATATATATATATATATATATATATATATATATATATATATATATATATATATATATATATATATATATATATATAAATATAAAATATTTATTATTATTTTATTGTTTTTTAAATATTAAAATTTATATAAAATAATAGACATTATCATTTAAATATTAAAAAATCATACATAATTTAAAATATTAATAACTTATATATTAGACATTACAATTTAAAAAATATTTAGAAAATAATTTGAAAAACAAATAAAATAATTTAGACGAGCCGATTTGACAGGCCTGCTACATTCGAACATTTTCTACGCATATGACCAATTTCTCGACATATTTCACACCTTCTATTTTCTTTCTCAAGATCGTTCATTTCAGTTCTAATTCTTTTACTATTTGGACGCCCTTTCTTATTCCTTCGCATTGTCTCGTCATGGCAAATAGTGAATCCTTCATATGTTGGCCAATTTTGCTGGTGTGGAAGTCCAAGGAAGCTTTCACTGTAGACTTTGAATACACTCAGAACCTTTAAAACATTTGGTATGTGCATGTTATAGTCCTGTCGTATACTGACACATGTTGCGATTACATGGGAGCAAGGTAAATGAAATGCCTGAAACCTCCCACAATCGCACCACCCTTTCCTGAGATCAACGCTAAAAGTACCTAATGGTCGGCCATCGCGTTGATTAATGCTTTTGGCAACCATAAAACAGAATCTCTCGCGATCAAATTGAATGACATTATGGCTGCTAGATTTACTCGCTTCGTCGGTCATTCCCTTGTTACGATTTTCTGTGAAAGTTTGATCGGATGCCAACATTTTTGTTCAATCGTGTCCTCGTTTTCCAAACAGCGATCCCAGACGATAGAACGTTGACTTGACCAATGCTGTAATACGAAGGTTTCAGGTAGCCTTAAGAACCGAGTTCATAGCTTCGCCAAAATTTGTTGTCATGTGTCCCCGCCGCTTTCCTCCGTCGAACGCCCTCGACCACTTCTCTCTGGGAATATTGTCTATCCACTCCAAAGTTGCTCTATTTGTTCTTTGTATTTCGCCCTTGTAGTAGTCAAATGTTGCCTCTGTTAGTGCATATCCTGTAGATGAAAATGTTTAAACAAAATGTTCAGTAAAACATATGAAAATCAATAAGTTAATAAATAAAAATTGAAATATCAACTCGCGAAGATGTAGACATACCCATGTTGACAACTGTTTTTCATAGTTCTTTGTCTCTGAACTCACGCATGAAGTTTTACGCAATGTGTCTGATACAGTAAACATGTGAAGATGGAGGAAACTGTCACCCATTTTCAGGATCATCGTAAGCACTCTTGATTGATGGATGTCGGTCGGATATTATACAAAGATTGGCCTGGGGGTCACGTTCATTCTCAAATTCCTGAGAAAGAAACTCCAACCATCCTTTGTCTCACCTTTAACCAATGCGAATGCTATCGGGAAAATGTTACCATTTCCATCTTGTGTCATAGTCATCAACAAAGTCGTTTTGTACTTGTCGTACGACCAGGTTCCGTCAATTTGCACAATCGGTTTATAGTAAGTAAAACCACTGATAGACGGTTCAAATGCCCAAAAAAGTCGGTGAAATTTCCGTTTGTCACCCAATTGGGATTCGTCCTCTGTAATAATTGGCAATGTTTCCAACTGTATAACAGTTCCAAGAAGATATGTCTTCATCACTAACAACCATTGTGGTAAGTCATTGTAAGACGTCTTCTAATTCCCATAAAGTGATTCTACAACTTTAATCTTTGCAATCCAAGATTTCCGATATGAGATTCTATAACCGTATTTTTCAACAATATGGGCTTGTATCACTTTGACTTCTAGTGAAGTGTCATTGTTAACAAGTTCTCTGATGTTGTGGCTAGTAATTTCAGAATCTAATTTTCTATGATCCTGTGACATAGAAGTTGTTGTGCAAGTGTGTGATCTGCTTATAGTAGCGATCTCCCATAATGTGCTTTTTTTTACACAATGCAGCTCTACATGTGAAGATGCATTGTGGATTCTTACATTTTATTATATACCTTACTGAATCAGATTTATATACTGCATAGTCAAGGTTGTTACTAATATGCCAATGTTGTAAAAAAGAACACATGCTTCCTTATTTTCAAACACCAAACCTACTTCCAAGTTTTCACCAATATGGTTTGGTTTGTCGTTTTCAAAGATATAGATGGGTTGAGGATACTCCATACATATGTTTGACATATGCACTAGTGGATTGTACATATTTATGGGTTGAGCATTTATTACTTGTGAATGCACGGGGAACGCATCCTCTTCATCGCCATCACCGAATAGATCTTCAAAGCGAACATCATGGAGTTCATCGTCACTATATTCACCAACCTCCTCGTCCTGGATGAGAGGTTCATTATTTTGCGTTATTTTTTCATCAGTTATTTAGCTCACTCCATATTGATGCGAATATGATGATTGCGTTGGATATGCTTCGTCATCAAGGCGAACATATAACTCAATCGTCTTCAAATGAGGCATTGTGTAATGACATTGAAACATTTATTTGACTACGTTGTTTGTATCTATCTGCATTTGAACATAGAAGACACCACCATATACCACATTAGGTAATGGTTGACGGTAAGTAATATCTTGAACTGAACGATGCACTTTTTTTTCGATTCTTTTTTTTAGATGAAGGATATCAAAACTACGATGAAGTTTGAACATTACCGTATTTGTTTCGATGAATGAGAAACCAGTATTTTGATTAGTGAACACGAAACCATTATAGTGCATGGTGACCATTGTGTTTCTATCTACTATCATGGTGTTTTGGTACAAATAATATAGGATTTGGATGTGAGTCTACAAGACTTGTATGCAAAATATATAGTCCATTTGTGCATGCTGACCACGTGTAGGGTCGTCCATCCAAAGGATGGTTGCATGGTGACCATGTATAGGTTTGTCCATCCAAAGGACGAGCCCTTGAACCCCACGTGTAGGGTCGTCCATCCAAAGGACGAGCCCATCAAGCATGTGCATAGGTGTTAGGACAGTGGTAAAGTGTCAGGTTTGTATTATCGTCTCCACAGGGAATATAAGATTTTACCGCCGTTCGACAGTTGTTAAATTCGTAGTTTTATAATATCAAAGGGGTTTGGTTTTTAAAGTCGGTATCTTGCATAAAGAGTTATAAACAACGGTAAAAATTAGGGTTTGTCGATTTGAATAAAGATTGCCAAAGTTAGGTTTCGATAATCACTTTGCATGCATAATTCCAATCAACATTTCATAAACTCTTTTTAATGATCAACACATTCACAATATCCTCTCAATATGATTATCTCTAACTCATATTGTGATGTTTACCATTTTGATCCACTGTTGATATCTCACACAATCTATCAAAATGACAACTTTAAA